TTCCCAAAAATCTGAAAGCCTAACACTCCGAGACACCGCAAATCTAAGAGATCGGTCGATATCAGGTACCTAGTAGTGGTGCACTCTTATTACAGCGTTCACTACCCAGAACGTTACCTCATGCGTTCAGATACATTTTAAAAGGCACAAATTTTAATAATTCCCACAGATCTTGTTTCCCGAACTAATTTAAACGCCCTTTTTTTTGCTAATTTTAACGCCTTTTTTGCACTAATTTTAACGTCTTTTTTGGCAAAACTAATTTTGAAGCTTTTATTTGAATCGATATCTGCGTTCTTTCTCGGTCAGAAAAACGCCTGGTCGCGATTAAACAACGAGAACGTCCGAGAAAAGATACTTATCCACAGTACATACCGAGAACATCTTGAAACCGTTAAAACCTTGCTAAATACTTTTAATCGGGAGATTTGCTAAACTCGTAACCTTTTTTAAAAGTTTAATAAATAGCAACGCGAATCAGACTAGTTGGTGCGATCATGCGTTTCGTGCAATTCCGCCCATCGAACGATTGCCTATTAATGATTTTCACTGCTTTGTACTTTAGTCCACGCAAAAACAGTTCAAACACTGGAAAACAGTTAAAAATTCCACACACCAGCGCATGAGAGCTGAATTCGAAGCTTTGAAGGGTGAATATCTTTATTCCGAGTTAATAGTTTACCGCCAAAACTTTCACGAGGCCGTAGGTGATGCTCAAAAGCGTAGGAACGCTGAATTTGAATGGGCAAGGTTGACCGTGGGCAGGGAGTCATAACCTTAAAATTTCAGTCTCCTAGATTCCGTAGTTCCCGAGACATTAATTTACCCGTAAGAAACATTCACGGTGCCGTACGTGTTACCCGCGGGTACAAGAAAGTTGAATTTGAATGGGCAAGGTTGAGCGCGGGCAAGGGGTCATTATCCTAAAATTCCAGCCCCCTGGACTCCGTGGTTCCCGAGATATTAATTTACCCGTAAAAAACTTTCACGGGGCCGTATGTTTTACCCGTGGGTACGGGGAAGCTGAATTTAAATTTGGGGGGTCACACATGGGTGGGGAACGTTTCCCTAAATTTTCAGCTTCCTCGCTTTTGTGGTTCCCGAGTTGAAAGTTGCGAACAATTTGACACACACACACACACACTCACAAACACACACACAGACAACCCCGTGACAATTTGCGTTTTGTACTGCTGTTACACAGCACAAAACGCATAAA